GAATGCCCTAAGGACTCCACTAAAACTCCATTAGAAACAAACAAATACAGTAAAATTTCAGGATCCAAAATCAGTGTTCAAAAATCCATATGTTCCTATACTCTAATAATGATTTTTCAGAAAAGAAATGAAAAAAAAAATGAAACACTTGTTTTTGCAATTGCTACAAAAAGAATGAAATACCTAGGAATAAACTTAAAGCATGTGAAGAACCTATACACTGAAAACTGTAAGACCCTATATAAAGAAATTGAAGAAGATACAAAGAAATGGAAAGATATTTCGTGTTCTTGGATTGGAAGAATCAACACAATTAAAATGACCTTATTATCTAAAGCATATAAAGATTTATATCCTCAAAAAATCTCAATGGAATTTTTTAAAGAAATAGAACAAAAAATCATCATATTTGTATGAAAGCACAAAAAGACCCCAAATAGCCAAAGCAATCCTGAAGGAGAAAAACAAGACCAGAGGTATTTGAAATAACACAATTATTTAAGACATGTGTTTGCTCTTTTTTTTTCTAGCAGAAAGTATAAAACAAATATCATTTAATGCGTAGATAGAGAATTGTGAAGTACAAGAGGTCTGAATGACTTCCAGATCAGACAGTCTATAGGCCTCAAAGGGATGACTATAATTAGTGGCTTATTTGACTAGATGGATGATGGATAAAAGTAGGTGGAAACACCTACTTTCAACCTGAAGACAAGCTAATTCTCTTGCTAATCCTAATTTTATGAAGCCCTGCCTCACCTTGCTGATGGGCCCCTTAATGGATATTCCACTACTAATAGTAACCAACTGCATTCGGACTTTCCTCTTTGCCAAGTACTGTGCTTAACACATATACATATATTTTCTCATTTAATCATTCAATAATTTGATGTGTAAAGTATTGCAATTAGCCTAATTTTACAGAAAGTGGACCGAGGCTTACTTAAAGATACTTGTCCAATGTAATCAACTGGTATAATTCAATCCTGGGTTAAAATTCACTTCAGACTGAGTGCTAGAATGTGTATACTAACTACTACTGTCTTCTAGTCAACTTTAAGACTTAAGTGCCTAAGCGATCACCACTGGTTCTCGACTAGTCCCTGATTTACTGTCTTTTCTTCCCACCCACTACCCTCTGCTTAATTCTCTAGAATTGGCTAGACCTACATTCTAGCCCTGAGCACCAGGTCAGTCCTTAGGATCCTAAATTATTCCCATGTGCCCACCAATGACCAACTCCTGTTGATCTTATCTCCTGATTTCCATCACGTGTCCACTTCTCTCCTATCGACACTGAAATTGCTGTCTACTTGATTTTCCTGTATGCACATTTGGCCTCCCCCAGAACAGCCAAAATGAATTACTTATTAAAATAACTTAATATTACTCATTTTAAATGCTATCAGTTACATACAGTTGGTTAAAAGTTCTCGGAAGAGATAACATTTGTCCATTTTCCTTTCCTTTGCAAATCCAAAGTACAACTCCCCACAGGTAACTGCTTTTGACTCTAAACTATTTCGTGATTGAGATTCCTCAGTATCTGTAAATAATATGCTTTAATAAAGAAAAGTTATATTTTCCGTCTGTGATCCTGCTAGTTTTCCTTTTTATTTAATTTCAACATAATTGATACAAGGAGAAAATCAGTGGATTTCACACTGTAGGAGGATCATTATGCATATTATTTGTAGAATTATATAACAGGGCCAGAACAAGATAATAGGTTAAATGTCAAAAAGAATAAATTTTAATTCAATATTCCATTGCAAAGATGAAATAAAAAGTAATTTCTCACAGCTAACATGCAAAAGAATGTTTTAGTACCAAGCTCTGAAAGATATATAGCAATAAAGAAGTAGAGTTAAAGTGGAATCTTATAGACAAGGTTCTTACAAATAAGTTACTCAACTTTATTTTAGCTAAGTAGAGAATGAAAATAAATCTTATTCCTTGAAAAACCATCTTTTTAGTTTAATTAATGTTTATATTTTGAACATTTTATTTATATCTACATAACAGATTAAAAATAGCTGTTTGTTGTCATTTCAAATTCTACCTACCTAAATAATAAGTTGATCATTAATGTTTTCAGCTATTACAGTAAGTCCTCTGATTATAACTTTAATTTTAACCTAGACTCAATTAAATAACTTGGAGTTAAAATTTGTTTCTAAAGCTTATAA